TGCCCGGTACTCGGTACTCCATGGAGTCCGGAGCGACTCAGAAACAAAAGGTCATCAGATGAAACTATGGCTGATATAGGGAGGTGTATAATATAAGACACAAAGTAGTACCTTAGCTGTGTATTCTTATATTACTCTATCAGTATGTATAATAAAGTATTACAGAACATGTATTAATCCTATATAATATTTCCATTTATTATACCATGTTATGTATGTGAATTATCATATTATGTATTCAGCTTGTGAATGTTGGCATCTGTACATGCCAGGCTGGCGAATTGATACAGAGTTGAGATCCTAGTCCCTTATGGTGGAAGCCAGTTTCTTTGTTCCTCTGTATTTATCTCCCGTACGAGGGCAGAACCTATTTTCAAGATAACAAGTGTTTTGTGTATACCTCAGTAATGTAGAACATTTTGAAATTATCAGGAACAAACATAAATCTTATGACACATAGAGTCTAAGAACGTAAATACTCTAGTGCAGTGTTTCTCAAACTGGGGGCCATGGCGGGCTAGTGTAAGTAGTATATGTTTGGAGAAAATGTGGAAACTGATTCAACTTTTTTTTGTTAGTTTGTCTTGTTAGGGGAGAAATCTTCTTTTTTTTTGTCATTGTGTGTAACCATAATACCCGTACGGTACAGATTGCATGCTTCTAGTTCCTGTCATCAGGGTGACTGGCGCTGGACTGAGTCACTGATCTCACATGTTCGGTGCATGTCCGTGTGTCATCGCTTTACAAGTGGTGATCAGACCGAATGTTCGAATGTTCTCAGTCTTGCTCAAGATATCATGAGGACAATATGTGAGTGTACTGTGAGTGGACTGTGAGTGGACTGTGTACTGTGAGTGGACTGTATTTGTACTGTGAGTGGACTGTATGTGTACTGTGGAGGTGAACTGTATGTGTGTGAGTGGACTGTATGTGTACTGTGAGTGGACTGTATGTACTGTGGGTGTACTGTATGTGTACTGTGGTGGACTGTATGTGTGCGTGGTGGACTGTGTGCTGTGAGTGGACTGTATGTGTACTGTGGTGGACTGTATGTGTACTGTGAGTGGACTGTATGTGTGTACTGTGGTGGACTGTATGTGTGTATGTTTTACGTGTGATTACATAGCCACTTTGTGTGTTTACATACAGTATGTATGGACTTCATGCATGTTTGCCATTAGGATTATTGTCTCATTTCTGTTTCTTATTACTATAATTTTCGTCTATCATTCGTCTGTTTCTGTGACATTCTGTTTTTTTAAAGAACTTGTCAACATTAGAGATTACAAATTTTAGTAAAACCAAGAGATTCATGTTTGTCTTATATTTCTGTTTTTATTATTATAATTTTAATCTTTATCATTCGTCTGTTTCTGTCTGTTTGACTTTTTAATTTCCAGTTACGATGGCTGCCATTGTTGCTAAGCGGAGGTACAATGCTGAATACATTAACTACGGTTACCAATCCTCGCTGATGGTATCGAGAAACCTCAGTGTGTGTTGTGTTTCAAAGTGCTGGGGAATTCCGTGAGGCCTAAAGCTGAAGCATCATCTGAGGTTTCCAATGAAATAGCAAAAGAAAGGCCCACACTATTGGTGAAACTTTAATTAAGCCGTGTGCTTTAAAGATGGTCACGCAGGTTCTTAGAGGCAAGTGAACGTAAGATTCAGCAGATTTCCTTGTCAGACGACACGATGAAGCGGAGAAGTGGTGAAATGTCAGATGATATCATGGAACAAGTGAAACAGGAGATTAAATCGTCTCCAACTGGTTTGTTTGCTATACAGTTGAATGAGTCAACGGATGTGAGTTCTTGTGCACAGCTACTCGTGTTTGTTAGGTATGTATTCTTGCGTGACGAATATCTGTTCTGTACACAGCAAACTAAAACAACAGCTTTAGGTGTGATGGAAAAGTCGACTTCTTTCTTCACAGCTAACAGGATCACCTGAATGCCAAAGGGGTTCATTGTATGATCCATCGTTTTGCACTGGCGTCGAAAACCCTCCCTGATGCCCTTTGCATGATCCTGGAGGCAGTGGTAAAATGGGTCAACTTTGAAAGCAGGAGATTTGAACTCTCACCCTTTCGAACCTCTGTTAGAGCATGGATTCAGAGCACGAAACCCTCCTCTTTTACTCCAGTGCGATGGCTTTCCACGAATGTTGTGAATCGAGTGTTCGAACCTCGTGGAGAACTTATGTTGTTCCTGGAAATGAAATGGAAGGATGATTTGCTAAGTCACTTCAATGTTGATATTGTGTTCTCCTCTATCTCTCTCTTTTGTGTATCATTTATTTGACTTTATTTTTATGATTCTGTCTGTTCGTCCATCTTGTGCGGGCAATCAACATAGTAGGTAGTGAGCCGGTCGAGTCTCTGTTGTTTTGACGCTTTTTTTTTTTTTTAATGCCCCAATTTAGTGACTTACAGTAGATGAATTCGCCATTTGGGGGTGAGGGTGGGGAGTGAGGGTGGGGGTGGGGGTTGGCGGGGTGAGGTGGAGGTGGGGATGAGGGTGTGGTAATGGAAAATTTAGGTGAGGAATTTAGTGGACGAAGACTTGAGAATCAACAGACATATACACAACAAGACAGTCATACACGCACACACATGGCAGTCATATGCACAACAAGACAGTCATACACACATGGCAGTCATATGCACAACAAGACAGTCATGCACACACTCGACAATCATACACGCATATACAGTACATGGCAGTCACACGCCCAACAAGACAGTCATACACACACTCGACAGTCATGCACACAACAAGATAGTCATACACGCACATACATGGCAGTCATGTACCAACAAGACAGTTATACACGCACACACTCGACAGTCATGTACACAACAAGATAGTCATACACGCACATACATAGCAGTCATACAACAAGACAGTCATACACGCACACACGACAGTCATGTACACAACAAGATAGTCATACACGCACATGGCAGTCATATGCACAACAAGACAGTCATACGCACACACACGACAGATGTACACAACAAGACAGTCATACACGCACACACTCGAGAGTCATGTACACAACAAGACAGTCATGCACACACGACAGTCATGTACACAACAAGACAGTCATACTCGCACACACGACAGTCATGTACACAACAAGACAGTCATACACGCACACACACGACAGTCATGTACACAACAAGACAGTCATACAGGCACACACACGACAGTCATGTACACAAGAAGACAAGTCATACAACCACAGCTGGAGTTAATGTCTTTAATTCTATAGCTTGAATGTTGTCCGTAGTGCCCCATTATATCTCTCTGTTAATAAACGTCTCTCTTTTGAGGTTGACTGCGTAAAGATATGAATTATTAAAGAAAACAGGAAAAACAGCTAATGTAATATAAATAGACCTTCAAAAAGCCGATAGTGACACCCCTGGCGGTGACATGAACTAAGTACAACTGTCTAGCTCCGCGAGGACCAGATCGAGGCAGGGCCCAGCCAGTTGATCACTTGAACTAAACACTCGGTGGGTGTGGTGTGTGGTGAGTGTGGGTAGTGGGTGGGGTAGTGGTGTAGGTGGTGTGGGTGGTGTAGTGTTGGGTAGGGTGGTGTAGTGGGTGGTGTAGTGTGGGGTAGTGTGGTGTAGGGTGGTGTAGTGGGTGGTGTAGTGTGGGTAGTGTTGGGTAGGGTGGTGTAGGGTGGTGTAGTGTGGGGTAGTGTTGGGTAGGGTTACTTAGAGCAGAGACGTTACCGAGAACAAATTCTGGCTTGAATGTCATGTACACTGATACTGACACGTTTCTCGATAAGAGAGAGGAGTTTGAAACACTAAGAGTACACCAACCAGATATCGTAGTTGTTGTATATGTTTTCTTACGGGATATCATCTCTTCCCGTAATATTGACTAGTTACATCGCCCTTTCTTTTAAGCTCCTCTTATGTTTGCGGTGTGTTGATGTGTGGATTGGTGGATGTCATGTTTTTGACCTGACCTCATGTTTTGTAAGGTCACCCTATGTACCTAACCCTCTCTTAGTCCTTGTAATTTAGTTCCTTTTGTTATTCATTGCCCTAGACCAGTGGTTCTCAACCAGGGAGGAATTCCCCAAGTGTTTTTCAGGGGGACTGATTCGGGAGCAAGAGATATGTTCGATGAAAATCAATCACAGGCTTGATGTGCGATTCCTACCAAAAGTGGCAGAAAAAGCTATCCGTGCATTGCTTCCGTTTGTGTCGACATATCTTTGTGAGTCAGGCTTTTCAACTCTGTTGCAAATTAAAACAAGCAACGTAGTAGATTAGAGGTGAAAATGACCTGCGTTGTGCCCTTTCAAGCACTCCTCCGCGTATCCCAGAATTGGCGACGAAAAAACAATCACAGTTTCTCATTGACTGTAATCTTCATCTGAATAAAATTAATTACAAATTTACAATATCCTGGTATTCTATTGAACTTTTGTTTATTGCATTATGCTTCAGTTTGGTCTGTTAAGTAATTCATTATAAATAAAATAAAACTATTTTACTTTTATTCAAGTTTTATAAATCCATCAACATTTTCAATTGGCATTTAATTTAAAACTCCACTATAAAATAATCCATGTAAAATTGTAAATGTATATGTACTAATATGGAAAAATAAAGGTTTTTCAGTATTATATGCATATTATTTGGAATGCACTTTTTGAGGCAGACAATCTTGGAAAGGAGGAATGACATCTGACATATGGTGAAAAGGGTGCATGGGGCAAACAAGGTTGAGAACCACTGGTCTTGACTGTGTAGTCTTATCAGTAAACAAACAACAGCTGAGACTGGTGGTGTTGCTTATATCCGACACAGTTAATACTTCCAACAATAAAATACATTATTTGCTATAAATATTATGAGTTCTTAATATCTAAAACCTAATTAACTGATTTGTAAAATATTTTTATTTGGTTTTACTTATATATATATATATATATTATTTTAGCAGAAACAGCAAGAAAAGAGTAGTAATGTTAGTAAACTGTGATGGATTATATCAACAAATGACAGCGTAGGAAGTCTGACTGAGAGAAAAGGTTATCTTTGTACGTGATAATGAATCATCCACTTGTGTACTGTGTCTTGGTGTTGTGGAAGTGACTCTTATGTGTTATTTCGCATATATAGTGCTAAAAAATAGTTAAAATGAAGCAAAGAGGAGTGTGGTATAGATACAGAGCGTCGCAGATGATGATTGTTTGTTGGGCAGCCATCTGGACGTTGTGTACTGCTGACCCACATCAACGAACCTTTTCACGGGACCATCATCACCTTCATCATCCCAGCAGACAACAACTTCAGAACCATCCATTACGCTCTCACACAAGTGGTCTTAAGTTATGGAGCAAAATCATTCCAGATCTCCAAGCACAAAGAAAATCATATGATGGAGCCCACAGTTCTCAAACCTGGTATGACAATAACCCTGTTAAGCAAGAGGGAATGGAAGGGTATGGACGTCATGAACGATCCCCCATAGTTGATAGAAGTGTTTCAGATACCAAATTTGACATTGAAGTGATTGAAGGAACGTTTGGTGATACTTTAACTCAACACATTAACAAGACTTCTGAATACTTGTTTGAATACATCTATAATACATCTGCACTGAAGGTATGTTAAATATTTAGGGGTAAGTTTACTTTCACAAAATCTAACCTGCCCTACTTTTACTAAACCTGACTTTCTTCTTTGCCAAACCTTATCTTATTTAACTGATGGAGGCTGATTGTGTGTAATATATCATGTAAAAGAAGCAAAACAATATTAGCTTCAATTAACTGGCGAACCGCCTATATTGTAAGAATTTTCCTTATTTTATAATTGAAATAATTCCAAAACTAAACATTGGCCAAAAAACACTGTAGAGTAAAATAAAAATATTTTTTTATTTATGCCCCCTCATAATACCAAGTATTAAATCGGAGTATGTCCATTTTATCACCAACCCATTTCGTCACATTTACTTTTTACTTTTATCCTCTTCACTACTGATCGGCGCGCTAGCCGCTTGGGCGATCAGTCATGTCTCTGTTGCACACTGTTGGCAAATACTGGGCATGCACTGACTCCTGAATGAATCTGAACCTGCTCCAGTGCTTAACAAGTCACAACACTCTCTGGAATTGTTCCAAGTGTTCACAACTCTCATTCCAAAAAAGTTACACTTCACTGTTTTCTGGGCTTGCGGCTTCTTCAACCTTGAGCTGTGACCCCTTGTGGGGGCGGAGTTTCCGCCAGCTCCAGGTAAGGGCACTCGACTGAGTAGTGACCTTTGAGATGCTTATACACCTCAATTAGGTCTCCCCTTGCCTGTATGTAGTATAAGCTAGGCTAGTTCAGGCACTCCAATGTCTCAGGGTAACTGAAGTGCTGTAGTGCAGGCACCAGTCTGGTGGCCCTCCTTTGGACATTTTCAATCAACTGACAGTCCCTAGCATATCTTGGGGACCAGACGGGGTGACAGTAATCCAGACGGAGAAGCACTTCACTCTTGAAGATTGTTACGAGGGACGGACCGTCTAGATATCTGAACGACCTTCCTATAAGAATTTAACAATTTAGTTGCCTGATTTACTTTCTCTAATGGCCCGAGAACTTCAGCTCATTGTCAAGCTACACACCTAGTACCTTTTTGCATTCATTTTCAATTAATGCAGTTTCTTCTTCCCATTGGGACATATGATACGCCTCCTTACCGTTGGTATGTCCCAGGTGCATCCTCTTACACTTTTGGCATGGAATCTTAGCAGCCATTTCTTCGACCATTCTTGGAGCTCACAAGAATCCTTCTGCAACTCTTCAAAGTCTGCTTGGTTCTTAATTTACCGAAATAACTTGGCATCATCCATAAACATTTGTTTGGAGGAATGTACAGCGTCAGGCATATCATTTATGAAGCAACAAACAACAGCCGGGCCCAATACACTGCCCTATGGTATCCCACTTGTGACAGGTACAGATGATGATTTTGTGCCATTAATCACCACACACGGCTTGTGGTCATGCAAAAAGTCTTCAATCCACGCTAGGACATTTCTCCGAATCCTGTACCCTTCCAGTTTAATTTTTAGCCTTTCATGGGGTACACTTTCAAAAGCCTTGGCAAAATCTAAGTAAATATTTAATATATTACCACCCCGTTCCAGAATATGGGTCCAAATATCCGGTACCTTGAGTAATTGTGTTAAGCAGGAGGCGTCGGCATAAAACCGTGTTGGCAATCCTTTACAAGGTTGTTTTGTAGTAGATGTTCCATTGAGGCATCTCAGATAATGCTCTCAAATACTGTACATACTATGCTGGTCAGGCTCACCGGTCTAAAGTTGTTTGTGGAGTGACGATCGCGCCTTCTTGAAGTTAGAACTCACATAAGCCCATTTCCAATTACTGGGGGCCTATTGTTCATCTCGGCATTTACAGAACAGGATCTTCAGGGGCTCAGCAAGCTCATTGCACAACTCTCGTAGCACTCTGGGATGCACCATGTCAGAGCCAGGACTCTTATGAACCTTTACCTTGACAGTTTATTTCGTTTAACCTCTTCTGTGAACACAATGTGGGTTAGCGCTGTGTCGAACCGTCTGTCCTCAAGCACAGGTAGGTTAATCGCACCCTCGCTTTTGAGCACCGAGGAAAAGAAGCTGTTTAATGCCTCAGTTTTGACCTGGTCAGAATCTGTGTAACTACGATCTTCAAGCCTCAGGTTCGATACTCCTACTCACGTTTTAATTTTGACTTTGCATAGCGGTAAAACGCTGCTGGGTTTGACTTGACCTTGCTTGCAAAAAGCCTCTGGAACTCCTTTTCAGCCCTTCCACACTCTGACTTTGCTTGGTTCCTGGTTCTAGCATACATTCTCCTGTCCTGTTTTCACCCGTTTCATCACCATTGCTTTACCTGTTTCGTCACCGTGTTCATTCCCATCAATATACAGGGTATACACGAGAATAACTTGCTTGGGATAGAAAATAATAAAAAACACTAAGACAATTTATTAATGAAAGAAATATAAAATAAAAACATTGTTAATACTCCTGCTATCACCTGACTTTAACATTATGTGAAAGACTAAAATTTAAAAATATATATAAAAAACCACTTAATATGCCTGCAATCACCTCACTTAAACAATATGTGAAAGACTAAAATTTACTCATGCAAGCTTGGCAGAAGACATTGAAAATTTTTTAGGAAATTAGAAGTGGTGATATTTTTTCTTCATATTCATCCCACAGCTTCCAGAGACAAACTTGTTTGTCATGATTTGCTTTTCATGTGCACGATTTTAGCTTGTGCTCAGCAACTATTTGTAATTGCAAATCAACCATTTAGGCTTCTCTGTGCAAAAGGGACAAGGAGGTATAGAGCGAGATTGTTCTTTGCTGCTCGGTGGTTTATGCACTGCTGCCAAATCACCTTCATTTGTACTGTATTTTGTTTATTTACCAATGTTTAATCATTTTCTTTATTAAACAATTGATATTCATGTACCGACCCTCATTATTCAATTAGGACTAATAGGGAAGGTGTCCGTTTTTAGCGATTAGTCTAGTCTTAATTTAAGGTTAATATTGCATTATATTTCAAAGTCATTGTTTTAAATCCGCGATTTTATCCACTTTCCACTGTATCGTACATAATTTCAGCAAAAATATTACATTTTCCGTGAGATATGTTATATCAAGCACAGTATGAATAGAATATCAATGTAATGCTGTATAACAGTATTTTAACCGGCTATTAAAAAACAAATAACATCTCAAGCTTAGGTAAGAGTCTTTTAACCCGTCATGTATTTTATCCTATTACATTGAAATACATCACGTTTCATAAAACTACTATTTATTTCCGAGAATATATATTCATTCAGGCGCCCAGTTTAGGTAAAATATACATAGCGATGTAGTTTTTTTAACTGAAACTTGATTGAAAAACCACGTACCCTCTAGCCCTGTTCAGGGAGAGGACTGGGAGAAAGCACTGTTTGGTGCTGCAGGCGATGACAGGAAAATTATTTGGATGGATTTAATGAAAATATTCAGAAATATGGTATATTAGTATTTTATTCCAGTCAATTAGGATAGAATATTATTGTAATACAACAGTTTTTTTAACTGAAAACCAATCGAAAGTGATTGCATTAACATCTTTTTGAGCGAAAGAAAAGTCATTGTTTTTGCGTCCGATTTTATCACTTTCCACTGTATCGTCGTCATTTCAGCAAAAAATATTACATTTCCGTGAATGCATTATATCAGCACAGTATGAATGGGAATACCATTGTAATATAACAGTATTTAACCAAAACTATTAAAAACAGTAACTTCTCTTGAGCATCGGAAGGTTAGGTAAATCTTTTGTTTTTAAATCATATATTTTTATCCTATTTTACATTAAAATACATTCGTTTCATAAAAACTACTATTTATTTCCGAGAATATATTCATTTAGAGGCACAGTTAAGGTAAAATATACATGTGATGTAACAGTTTTTTAACTTCTGAAAAATTTTAAAAACTACGTACCCTCTAGCTGATACACTCCAACAGCTGGTGGTGTGTCATCGTCGTTATAAACAATAGGAGGTTGAAGTAAATTGCAAGGTATTATATTAAGTGTGAAATATCGAAAGGTTTTTATTACCCGGTATTTTTGGTAGATCAATGAGAACTGTGATACGTATATGATAAGTTGTAAAGGTAATTTAGCCTATTGTAAGTTGGTGAGCTTCATTTGCTGGAAGGAACGCACAACTTTTCATTACTGGTGGTACATATTTACGTTTCCATTGTTTGCTGGTAGTAAATGGTAAATATTTTTTCATGTCTGAAGCTAAAAAGTTGCATCCTCCCCACACTAGTGGTGGAGATGTTATTCAACCAAAGAGCGGCTGGTGTTTTATCCCAGCAGTGGGTGGACCAACATTAGCTTAAAGGTCTGCATAGGTAATATTCCTACAAATCTAAAAAAAAAAATAAAAAATAAAATAGTTCAGATTTTGTCGAATTATCCGAAATCCGGATTAAAGGGGTCGAATGCGGTCGACTGTATAATAATAACACAATTATTCTTCATTTGTTCTGTATTTTGTTTTATTTGCAATATTTAATCATTTTCTTTATTAAATAATTAATATTCATGTAGTACAGTACAGTGACTCCCTCGTTCGCGAACACCTCGGTTAACGTAATTTCGATTTATGAACTGCCTTCCATAAGGATTTTCAATTCGGTTAACGAAAAAAAATTGATTACTTGAAGTTCTTCTGAACCGACCTCAACATGTTTTCGCTTGCACTGATGGACAGCCAGCTTTGAAATCAGTCCGTAATACGATGTCGGTTCTAGGGCTTAAATTCCTTACTATTTTTAGTAAATGTCAAAGAAGTTTATATATTCAATAATTTTAAAAAGTTTAATATTCAATTTTTTAGTCATTTAACAATTATTGAACATAATTCGAAAATGAAGTGACTAGTTTAATGCATGACATCAGCCTCTTAACACAACAAACAGGAGTTAGTCTCTCTGTTTCACTGGAGGTAACATCTTGCTTGAGACTCTCTTCAACTAAGCGCTTTTTTTTCTGTGTTTCCAAGCAAATTATTGGTC